AGATTACTTTTATTGGTCACAACTCTATTATAACTTAATAAAATGTGAGTCACAGTCACAATTTTTAGGTCACACATTATTAATTTGTCAAAAACTAACCAATTATTGATCACAATCAACCAAATAATTGGTCACAAACACCCACATCCATCTCATCCCACCCACGCCCATCGTCACAACACAGCACCGCACACAACACAGCACCGCACACACCCAACCGCAATCGCATGCACGTCGACAACGTCCACAAAATCACCAATCCAACACAACCACCAACACCACCACAACACCAAAATCACCACCAGATTTCTCCACTCCAGTAGAGATGGTGCTTCTACACAGTGACTCCGGCTAAGCAGATCAAATTAGAGGAGAATGAAATCACCCTAAAATACCCCAAACTTCCTCCCCAAATTTTCTCTTATGCCGGCGACCAAAATACCCAAACCCTTTCCAATATTTTTTTATCCAGTGGTGAAACTGCCATGGCTGGCTGGATGACTCTACGGTGCTGCTCTGGCTAGGACTGTGCACCTCCGATGGTAAAGGGAAGTTAGTTTTAGCTTTAGATCCATGGAACTCACGAGCGGCGGTGTCGTAAGCACGTGCTGCAGCCTCCGTCGTGTCGAACGTGCCCAATCAGACACGACTTTTCTTCCGAGGATCACGAATCTCCACTGCGTAATGGCCCCACAGCCTCTTCCTCACGATTAACGCCATTAACAACATTATTAGCCTTCTCCTTTACAGCCATGAAAAAAATCTTGAAACCTCCCGCTGGAGAGAAAAGTTAGTGGTGATGAGGGGTTACAGATTGAAGGAAAATGGACGAAGTGGTGGTGCAGGCGGGTGGTGGCGGCGGGGATAGAGAGAGATGGGAGAGAAAATGGTTTGACAGGAGAGAGGGGGGGTGTGAAAATAAAATAATTAAGGTTTGAAATTGTGTGGGATTGATTTAAATAAAAATTAATTTAAAAATTATTAATTAAAACCTGATTTATGTATTATTAAAATTGATTTTTGATTTATGAAAATGGTAACTTAATAACCCGTGAGGCTGTAATTTCCTCTTCTTTATTTATATCTTTTTAAATATTTTAATTATGTTCTTTTAAGTTTTTAGAACCAAGGTAGACTACACAACCTTTGTAATTATGGATTTGGCTTTTTATCGTTTCAAACGTTTGTGGTTTGTTCTTTGTTCTTCTTGGACTAATTAAATNTTTGTTCTTCTTGGACTAATTAAATTAAATTTTCTTTTTCTTCATGTATGTTTTATTGAAATTGGACTTAATTTTAAATTTATAGAATGAAAATAATTTGAGTAGCTTGAATTTAGAAATTTATCGAAAATTGGATAATCGCATTATTAAATTGTAGTGGATTATAAAACTTCGGTTGACATCTCGTTCCATAACTTTAGTTGTTTATATTTCTTTAGTTCAAATTATTTCAACAAACTTGACTCTTTTTCTCGACTAGATTAGATTATAATTACATGTTGTTTGAAAAAGTTTTAGCAGATTTTGATAAAAGTTAATGGAATATATAATTGAAAAAATTATTAAAATTATAGCTCTAATTAAATGTACAGTTAGAAATGAAGTTTCTCCAATTGCAAAGTAAATAAAATTTTAGCGAACAAGCATTTAATTTGAATTATATTAAACTTTCTTCATTCGTACTTTTTGTTGGTTTAGTTGCTTTTGTATAATCCAAAAATTCGTACGTACACAAATTAGTTAGGAGCCACGCGAAACTATATTTTGAAAAAAAAAAA